TTGCCAAAGCCATTGGTCCACACGATGTGCTTGCTACATTATTAAATAACCTTAAGGTTCAAGAGCGACAAAATCGAGTGTGTACAACTGTGGCTATTGCTATAGTCGCTGAGACATGTTCCCCATTTACAGTTCTCCCAGGTCTTATGAATGAATACAGAGTTCCTGAACTGAATGTCCAAAATGGAGTTCTGAAGTCCCTTTCTTTCCTTTTTGAATATATTGGTGAAATGGGGAAAGATTATATATATGCTGTCACATCACTTCTGGAAGATGCTCTCATGGACAGAGATTTAGTGCACAGGCAGACTGCATGTGCAGCCATCAAACATATGGCCATTGGCGTTTATGGTTTTGGTTGCGAAGATGCACTGATTCACTTGTTGAATTATGTATGGCCTAATATCTTTGAGACATCACCTCATCTGGTCCAAGCTTTCATGGACAGCATTGAGGGACTCAGGGTGGCCCTTGGACCGCAGAAGGTAAGGCTTTAAAGAGAAATGTGTGTTTATATTTATATATTATATATATATGTATATTGTTGCTGAGATTTTGTTTGAATACATCAGTACAACATCTATTTGAAGTTGCAAAATAAGACTTCTAAGTTTGTTTTGCTAACGTAATTTTCTATTTCAGATTCTTCAGTATGTGTTGCAGGGGCTTTTCCACCCAGCAAGAAAAGTTCGAGATGTTTATTGGAAAATTTACAACAATTTGTATATTGGCGCTCAAGATGCTCTTGTGGCAGGGTATCCACGGATATTAAATACAGGCAACAACATATACTCCAGGGATGAGCTTGATTATATCTTGTAGTTGATTTCTTTGTGAAATGATATTTAGTGAAAATGTTGGATTATTTTCTTACAAAGTTGTTTGTGTCTGTGTTTCGGGATGGCTGTTTCCTTGTGTACATGTATACATGCACATTTCTGCACAGTTTTACTCTATCTCCCACGCACACACACACACACACGCACATACACGCACATGCACACGCACACACACACGCACACACACAGACACGCACACTCGCACACACACAGACACGCACACACACACATACACACAGACACGCACACACACACATACAAACAGACACGCACACACACATACACACACACGCACACACACACATAGATACTGGCATGCATGAATGCACTCATGTGTGTACACTTAATTTTATTTTATTCTGTATATTAATATCAATGGGTGATTTTTGGATCATAAAATGACCATAGTAAAATTTACATCACGGCAGTATTTTGTTTTCTCCACACTTTCATTTGTACTCATGGAGTAAGTGCTAAGTATAGGCTAATTGTAGCCCTTGTTTAGTCATGGCACTGGATCACTGTTGAAGATGTCCATTTTCACTTGAAGATTGTAGGATTACTTTCAGTTTCACTCACTGATGCTGAACTTAAGCATTGTGATGTCCATTATAGTATACAGATTATTTTGAATGTAAAATTATTAAATGGAGTGATACCGGCATTTTACATGAAACATTTTTATAAGTACAATACAAGTGAAATTAGTTCTACAAACTTCATCAATTATACTGGTGCAAGATGATGCATCATTGTCCATAATCTGTGCATAGCAGAAACTGATTTGTATGGCAACAGAGTTATAACCAAGTAGTTCGCATATCTTTCTGAATGTATACAATAAGAATGATGGTAGTTGATGGTCCGAAACTTAGTAGATGCTGTCAAAAAGTACCTGACATAATGACCCTTTAGTCATCAAGAATTTAAGAGTTCGTATGCCATATATCAGACCGTTTAAGAAGCTATGAAGATTGCCTAACTTTCTACATATAAAAAAAATGTAGGAGAGGAATGTTTGTAAAGTACAACAATTCTTTTTCGGGAACTGATTTGTCTCCCAAGTTGAAAGTGATGAATGGTTGTTTCATGTGTTAGAAATTTATGTATTATTGTATTTGACCAAATATATGGATGATTATAATAATGTAAACAAAAAGTTTCATATTGGCAAATGACAGCTCATTATAAGTTAGCAGAAGTTACCGTTCTCTAGATCATGTCATAATTTGATAATGTAGGAGTCATAGATTAAGTTAATTCCTGTCTAACAATCCATCCTGCTTGTACTTTTAGGACCTGTCATCTTTTGAGATTTGATTTTTTAAGTTTATTTCAAAAATACCGTTTTGAACACTACTCCCAATAGAGTGTTGGAATAAAATAATTATATTCATAAGAGTTTTATTAATGGTCCATCATACACATGTTGACACAAACCTTGTGGGAATGAACAAAGGAAATAACTTGGTAGAAGTAATAAAGCATTTATACTTGCATCACAACTACTTGAATGAATTTGAGAAAAAAAAAACTGGGAGTACACAGTGAATAAGTGATCAAGAAACAGTACAAGAAGACCCAATGACCAGAGTCTAAACAAGTTTTTATTAAGACTGGCTGGGACTACATTTGTGGCAAACAGGTAAATCAGTTATTTTAACACAGGAAAACCTTCGCTTCATCACCCCCCACCCCCCCCCAATCCCTTGCCCGTTGTTGTCGTGGGGGAACTCCTCAACCTTGGGACTCAGCCCTCGACTCAACTAATTATGCATGGTCTTTTTTTTCCCTTCCCACTTTTGTTTCTGTCCCTTCACCAAACCCTTCTGCTATCCACCTCCTAAGGTGTGAGAGCCGTGCTGAAAGGATGAAAGGCTGACTTTGTGCCAGTCCTGAACGGCCTGAGGGAGCCATGGGCACGGTATTCCCCTGATTTAGTATCTAGCCCTTACCCCTCAAGGGGACCCTGAGGGGTGGACTGTTTTTATCCCCAACATAACCAGGCTTACCATGGCCAGTAATGAAAATATATCCCCACTGTTAGGGGCAATGAGGCTTGCCCCTTTATCAAATAGCCCCAAAGAAGTAAACCCACCCGATTCCCCGACCCCAGGCTCTCCTTTGACCACGGCTCCGAACACTGCAATAACTGCCCCTTCACCAATGCCTACTAGTACAGTAGCCAACAATCAACCCTCAAGGAACATTTCCACTCTCCCAGCATGCCCAACTTCAACACCTCTACCCCCACAACCTCCAACATCAACCACCCCATCCTCCCTTATTAATACCTTACAGCCTTATAGCCCACCTCTCCATAACACTACCTCCATCAACACTACTCCATCTTCGTCACGCCCTCGCCCTTCTACCACCCCTATCTCTAAAACAATCTTGAATACTCTCTTCAGTGCAGCCAAATGGGACCGATTTTTCGTGATCCCTCCCACAGCTCCCTACTCTGACAACACCCTTCTCTTCCAACAATGCCTCCAAAAACAAGTAGGTAAAGTCTCTTTCCGTAGCCGACCCGACCGCTCCCGTCTTGTAACAGTAACATCCGAAAACCAAGCCATAGCATTAACAAAACTAACTGACCTATATGGTAACCCAATCCTAGCAGAACCCCATCCAACCCTCAATACTTGCACCGGAACAGTCTCAATCTCACCAATAAATTGCCCAATGTATGACAAAGATTGGTCAGATTGTGGAGAAGATCTACTTGTCTGTCTCACAGACTACGATGCAACATCAGTACAATGCTATTCCATCCCCCCCAGAGGTCATCGAAAGAAACCCACTAACATAGCGAAAATTACCTTCCGTAGACATGACCTTCCCTTTAACGTCTACATAGGAGGAGAATCCCTCCCTGTTCGTCCATACCAACCTCCTCCACGTCAGTGCCAAAATTGTTGGCGTCTAGGACACCCAGCCAAACACTGCCGTTCCACAGCCAGATGCCCATTATGTGCCCAACCTGGCCATACCCGATCTAACTGCTCTGCACAATTACGCGCATGTGCCAACTGTGGCGGCCCCCATAATGTATTTTATAGGGGCTGTCCCACCTACAAATTTGAATCTGAGGTAGCAACTCTCAGATTCAAACTCGGACTCACACTGCGTGAAGCCAGACAGGAAGCACGTCGACGTGGATTCTCTCTTACTCCTTACTCCAGTAATACTGCTCATTCTAACACTTCTCCTAAACCCACCCCTCCTACATCTAACCCCCCCACTAACCCCACCTACCTTCCCCAGTCAAACTCTTTTGCCATCCTAAATCCAGAAACTCCAATCTCTACTACAGATACTCCAATCACCACTACAACCCCAACACCTTCCCCTCTCCCTCCTCGCACTCCCCGTAACAGACAACAAACGTTCCACCCCCTCTTCCCCTACCACACAATCACCCCCACCATCCTTTGCCCGTACTCTTGAGACACCAGTCCTCTCTTCCCCCCCTCACAAGAAATCCTTTATCCCCCAAAACTCCCCAACCAACTCCACAGAAGAAACTATTGAAAATATTCAAGATTACTTAATGAAAACTGACACTCAACCTACAACTCCTGCTCCTTCCACGCTCCAAGTAATTGCTGATATCCATCCTCCTCCTAACCCTCTAGCTGCTTCCCCTTCAAATTCTCCAACACGTACTACAATCTATATCACTAAATCAACGAAAGTATAACTATCCTTCATTGGAATATTCGCGGTTTCCGCTCCCACAGACCTGACCATCATATCCTTTCCTCTTATAACCCATCTATTGTATGCCTTCAAGAAACCTTTCTTATGCATACCCTTTATCTAATATAACACCCGACCTTAACCCTTTCACTCACTAATTCCTTTGCCCAGCTTAGACAACTAATCACTAACTCAACCACCCTTCACTAACATTAACTATAGTGCTACATGACCTTAGATGTCTAGCACATTTATCTTGCTTTTAACCATTAATCATTAACCCCCCCTAATTCCCTTGCCAGAGGCTTAGGAGGAGAGGACTGGGACCCAATGCTGGGTATCTCCCCTGCCTTGGGCCTCAACCCTCGACTCGACAATTTTGCACGGTCTTTTTCCCCTCCTTACTCGTTTCAGTCCCTTCTCCAACCCCTTCTACTATTCACTTCATAAGGTGTAATAGCCATGCTGAAAGGATGAAAGTCTGATTTTCTGTCAATCCTGAACGGGCTGAGGTAGCCATGGGCATGGCATTTCCCTCTTAGTTGTCTAGCCCTTATCCCTCAAGGGGACCCTGAGGGATGGCCTGTTTCTCTCCCCAACACTCTAGGCTTACCTAGATGATGTTATACCCTTGTTAGGGGCAAGGAGCCCTTCATCAAATAGCCGCAATTCAATCTCTCCTGGCTTCCCAACCCAAGGCTCTCCTTTGACCACGACACTGCAACTACTACCCCCTCCTCAATGCCTGCTAATATATTATCCACCGAAGTCAACATTCAAGCTCCAGGAGACATTTTAGCTTCATCATCTCAACCCCCACGACTTTCTTCATCAATCACTCCATCCTCCCTTATTACTTACTTTACAGCATTATTGTCCACCTCCGTACTACCTCCCTCAGCACTACTCCCTCTTCCACACGTCCCCGTCCTTCTACCACCCCATCTCTACAATATCTTAAATACTAATTGCACAGCCAAATGTTACCGATTTTTCGTGATCCCCCCACAACTACTTTGATGACCCACTTCTCTTCCAGCAATGTATTCAAAAATAAGTAGGCAAAGTCTCTTTCTGTAACCGACCTGATCGTTCTCTTCTCATCACAGTTCCATGTGAAAACCAAGCTATAGCATTGTCAACTCTAACTGATCTCCCTGGTAACCTCATCCCTGCAGGACCTCACCCAACCCTCAATACTTGTACCGGAACTGTCTCAGTCTTCCCAGCAAATTGCCCTATTTATTACAACAGTAGTGAGACTGTGGAAAAGACTTCCTCGCCCGCCACACGGACTATGATGCGGTATCAATACAGTGCTACTCCATTCCTCCTAAAGGTCATCATAAGAACCCTAACAGCATTGCCATAATTACTTTATGTAGACATGACCTTCCCCTTAATGTTTACATGGGTGGAGAATCCTACCCTGTCCGACCATATCAACCTCCTCCCCATCAGTGTCATCCTGCCAAACACAGTCACGCACATGTGCCAACCATGGCGGCCCTCATAATGTATCTTTTGAGTTTGAGTCTGAGGTAGTAACTCTCAGATTCAGACTTGGTCTCAATCTGCTTGAAGCCAGACAGGAAGCATATTGACGAGTTTTTTCTCTTACTCCCCACTTCAGGAATGTCGCTCACTCTGCCCCTCCCCCTCCCTTCCAAGATGTTCATACACCCTCCCTAATACTTATCCCTCCAATATCTTGCTTCCCCACTTCTACCTTCTACCTTCCTCAGTCAAATTATTTTGCCATTCTAAATCCAGACACTCCAATCTCTACTGCAACCCCCCCCCCCCCCCCCGGGCACTACCGGCAGCAGACAGACTTAACGTATCACCCCTTCTCCTACCATCCACTCACCACCACCTACATTTGCCTCTACTCCTCAGACACCAGTATCCTCTCCCCCCCCCCCCCACGTAAGAAAACCTTTTTCTCACAAAACTCTCTAACCAACTCCTGCACAGAAACTTGAAGATATTCAAAACTATATGCTCGAGTCCCAAATTGACACCGAAACCCCTCATCCACCCTCAAATTCCACAACTCCCGCTCCCGATAGCTATATTCCCCCTACACCTCTTCCTCCTACTCCCTCCCAACACAGCCCATCTACCCTAGGTCCAGCTCTACCCACACTCTCTTTATGTCTCGTCTATACTTATCTATCCGAAAACACTATGTCATACCTCCCTATACAATATACTGTATGCGACCACGTGGATGCTTACACCACGCCGCACTAGCCGCATGGCTTGCTACCTAGCCTCGTCCACACTCGCACTAGCCGCGTGGCTTGGGGACGCGACCTAGCCGCGTTCCCCAAGCCAACGCTCGGATATTTAAGGCCTGCAGGTGACCCCTGTAGGCAAAGTGTTCTGTTCCGCGGCCAGGTGCCGTTTGGCAGGGCCCGTCGTCTGACCTAGGCGCCCTCGCCTTAACCCAAGCCCTGTCATCCTTGTGTGATCAACTCTGTGTGCTTTCTCTTATCAATAAAGAGATTTGAGCCATCAAGCTTTTACTATCCCTGTCACCAATGTTTAGAGGTCCCTTATAAAACCCTTACACTACCTTTCAAACCACTGTCCTGTGCATAGTTACACCTTTCTTCGCCGTTGGATCACAGTAATATCTGTCTACTTTTCCCGTTCCTGCCCCATTGACTTTGTTGCCTTTGAAAATCT